CCACAAAGAAAATTAATAAACCTTCTCACCAATCAATGGTATATTCAATATATATTCTGCTGAGTGAAATTAGTCAATTACAAAAGAAAAAATATTGCATGAGACCACTATTATAAAAAGTCAAGAAAATGTTTATTTACAGAAAGAAACATTTTTGAAGGTTATCAGGTGTGGGAGGGGAAAGGAAGGTAAATCACTAACTTGAGGGTAGACACATATTAACTTGGGTGAAGGCAAGGGCAATATACAATAAGGGAGAGGTCAAGGTAAAATGATCAAGGCAAAGGAAGACACTGGAAAGAGCAAAAGAATTAAAGGCAGCAAAAAACAAAAAAACAAAACAAAACAAAAAAACACATTCATTGCCATCAAGTTGATTCAGTCTCATAGCAACACCCACTGGGTTTCCAAGCCTGTAAAACTTTAGGGAAGCAAATTGCCCCATCTTTCTAACAGTTGGTGAGTTTGAATCATGGACCTTTTGGTTAGCAGCCAAATGCCTTAACAATTACACTACAAGAGCTCCTTAAAGGCAGCAAAACTCAATACTATTATATACACAATCCCGCAAAAACAAAAATCTATGAATGAATACATAGACAGACATGCAAACTAAATAGAAGTGGGAAGGAAAATGAGAGTACATCCATGAATAAATGAATAAATATGTATGGGCACACACACACACACACACACACACGTTTGATAGAGGATTCTACCTATGTATTCATATGTGCTGCAAATATGCCCACGAAAATACTAGAGCATACAAGATGCAAAGTTATGAAAACTTGTAACTGACAACGAAGCATCTGGAGAAAATAGTCACTGGACCTGGGGCTCAGCACCAGTCTCAGGGAACAGCAAGGTCAATTAGTATAAGACAGGGAATTTTCTACATCCTACGTTGGTAAGAAGCAAGTGGGGTACTAAAACCTTGTTAGCAGCCACCTAAGGTGCATCTATTGGTCTTTTTCCATCCAGAACAAAAAACCCTAGTCTCCACAACCCTGAAACCAGAAGAGCTAAATGATGGCCAACTACCACAAGTGACTGCTTGAAAGGGATCAAAACAGAAGGAACTGGCAAAAAAAACAAAGCTCCAGGAAATGATGGAATACACATTGAGATGTTTCAACCAACTGATGCAGTGCTCTAGGCACTTAGTCATCCATGCCAAGCAATTTGGAAGACAGCTATCTGGCCAAATGACTGGAAGAGATCCATATTTGTACCCATTCTAAAGAAAGGTGATCCAACAGAATGTGGAAATTATCAAACAGTATCATTAATATCACACACAAATAAAATTTTGCTGAAGATAATACAAAAACCGTTGCAGCAGTATATTAACAGGGAACTTCCAAGAATGCAAGCTGGATTCAGGAGAGGATGTGTAATGAGGCATATCATTGTTGATACCTGATGGATCTTGGCTGAAAGTAAATTATGGATAACATTGAGAAGACTGGGAATTCCAGAGCACTTAATGATGCTTATCAGGAACCTGTACATAGACCAAGAGACTGCTGTTTGATCAGAACAAGGAGATATTGCATGGTTTAAAATCAGGAAAGGTGTGTGTCAGGGTTGTATCCTTTCACCATACTTATTCATTCCATATGCTGAGCAAATAATCTAAGAAGCTGGACTATATGAAAAAGAATGCAGCATCAGGATTAGAAGACTCATTCAGAAGGAGCGCTGGTGGCATACTGCCTGAGGCATTTGACTGCTTACCAGAAGGCTGGAGGTTCAAACCTACCAGCCATTCCTTGGAGGGAAGGTTGGATAATCTACTTCTGTAGGGATACTGCCTCAGAAACTCAAGTAGGGGTCACTATGAGTCAGGACTGACTTGGTGGCAGTGAGTTTTTGTTTTTTTCATTAACAACCTGCAATACACAGATAACACAACCTTGTTTGCTGAAAGTAAAAATGACTTGAAACATTTACTGATGAAGATTAAAGACTACAGTCTACAATATGGATTACATTTCAATACAAAGAAAATGAAAATCTTCCCAACTAGACCAATAAGCAGCGTCACAATAAATGGAGAAAAGATTGAAGGTGTCAAAACTTCATTTTACTTGGATCCATAATCAACACTCCTAAGAAGCAGCAGTCACAAAACTAGATGTCATATTGCACTGGGCAAATCTGCTGCAGAAGTGCTCTTCATAGCGGTAAGAAGCAAAGATGTCACTTTGTAGACTAAGGTGCACCTAACCCAAGTCAGGGTATTTTCAAATGCCTCATATGCATGTGAAAGGCGGATAATGAATAAAGAAGACTCAAGAAGAGTTGGGAGCTCTGGTAGCATAGTGCCTAAGTCACTGGACTGCTAACCAGAAGGCTGGCGGTTCAAACCCACCAGCCACTCCTTGGAAGGAAGATGGTGCAATCTACTTCTGCAGTAATACCGCCTCAGAAACCCAAAGAGGGGTCGCTATGAGTGGGGTCCGACTTGACGACACAACAACAACAACAACAAAGAAGAGCTGATGCCTTTGAACTGTGGTGGTGTTGGTAAAGAATACTGAAAATACAACAGACTGCCAGAAGAATGAACAAATCAGTCCTGAAAGAAGTGGGGCCAGAATGCTCCCTGGAAGCAAGTATGGCCAGACTTCGTCTCACCCACTTTCGTCATGTTGTCAGAAGGGACCATTCCCTGGAAAAGGGTATCATGCTTGGTAAAGTGGAAGGTCAGTGAAAAAGAGGAAGACCCTCAACAAGATGGACTGACACAGGGGCTGCAAATATGGACTCAAGTATAACAAAGGATTGTGAGGATGGCACAAAACTGGGCAATGTTTCGTTCCACTGTATGTTCCACTGTCGCTAGGAGTCAGACCTGCCTTGACGGCACCTAACAACAACAACAACAAATCCATCCCCGTTCTCTACTATCATCTTCTGGTCTTATGTCCCACCTCCACTCTCCCTCCCTGTGCTCCCGTCACACTGGGATTCTCACTGCTCCTTGAACATACAAGGTATACGCCCATGTTAGGCCCTGGCCTTTGCTGCTCCCTCTGCCTGCAGTACTTTCCCTCTAGATATGTTTCATGACTTCATCCCTTTACCTTCATATTTTGCTCAAATATTATTTTCCTGGTGAGTCCTTCCCTGACCACCCTAGTTAAACTGTACTTGCCTTCCATGCTTTGTTTTTTATCACATACTTACCATTTACTAATTTACCAAGTATTCTGCTTACTTCATTTGTGCCTGTCTTCACAATAGAATAAGCTCATAAAGGGAGAGATGTTCATCTATTTTGTTCATTGTTCACTGACACATTTCCAATATCTAGAACATTGCCTAGTTCATGGTAGACATGTAAATATTTAATAAATGAGTAAGTTAATTAAATGATATGAAGAGCTCCAAAACCTGGTAAGAACTGAACACATAATAGAAACATGGGAACTAATATGATCCAGTAGTTCAAGGAAAATTAGATATAAATGGCTCTTCAACGTATGAAAATATGTTCACCCTCACAGGTAATAAAATTCTAAAGTTCAAGGTAAAATATCATTTTTTCTCATATTAAGTTGTCAAAAATTTTAAAATTCATTAACAAACTCTGTGGGTGAGGCTTTAGCACAACAGGTATAAACAAATACTGCTGGTGGGAATGTAAATGGGTGCAGCTTCTTTGGAGGGTAACTGGCATGCTATGTCAAAATTACAAAGGCATATTCCCTTGATCAGGGAATCCTTCTAAGAATTTATCCCACAAATAAACTTGCACATATGTAAAATGACTTATGACCAGATTATTTATTGTAAAATATTTACAACAGTAAAGACAAACTAAGAGCCCCTCAATAGGGGTCTGGTTAAGAACTTGGGGTACATACACACTGTGCATTACTTGCGAGTGTAGAAAAGAATGAGGAAGCTCTCTCTGTATTCATATGGAAAGATCTAATATATACTACTAAGGGAAATAAGCAAGGTACAGAACCATGTGAATTGTATGCTTGGTTTTGTGTACAAAAGAAGTAAATATATATTAGTATTTTTTTAATCAGCATAAAGAAACTCTGGAAGATATGATACAAATGAAACTAATAATGTAGTGTCTTTGGGGAGAGACGGATCCTAAGTACATGGAGAATAGGGTATCTGCAAGACTACATTAAATACTTTTAAGATTTTTGAATCATGTGGCTATATTACCTACTCAAATAATCATATTAAAAAATCAGAAGGTTGAACTAGAGAGAGAAAGAGAAGGAGAGAGGAACTGTTATGCAAATCAATGATGCAAATAGGCTTTTAGGAGGAATGCATGAATTACTTAAAGCAACATTTATTTTTAAATGAGTACAAGGAACTCTGGTAGCATAGTGCCTAAGGCACTTGACTGCTCACCAGAAGGCTGGTGGTTCAAACCCACCCGCCACTCCTCGGAAGGAAGGTTGGGCAATCCTACTTTCGTAGTGATACTGCCTCGGAAACCCAAGGAGGGGTCACTATGAGTCGGGGCTGACTTGACGGCAAACAACAACAACAACAACAACATGTTGTTACAAAAATATCCATGTAATAGTAAAGCTAATCCCCTGAGGAGCTTCTGCAGGTATCATTCTATAGGCCAATTTTGAGTTACTCAAAATATTTAAAAGAAATAACAAGATGCCTCTTTTACAAATATTTTAGAAATCATATTTCCTGATAACTTCTCAGGTTGGCCCATGTCCCAATTAGTTCAAATGGTGCTTTTCATGTGTGGTAAATTCTGTGACACACAAATCTCACAAACCACTAATAGTGCAGTGTGAGGTGCTACAGGCATGAAGAATGCCTTTTAAACAGTGTGATTTTTCTTCCCCTACAATATATCAAAGGTAATTTCAAAAAGCAAATTTCTTTAAATTACTTAAAGGAATGGTTCCAATAAGAGGCAAAAAATAAAAAGACCTGACATATTTCAACAATCAAGGCCTTTTAATGTTTAGGTCAGTAAACGTGAGTCTTACCTTACTTCAGCTGGTGGGCTTGGAGAATAGGGATTTGCAGAACAAGCCAGAATTCTAATGACCGCTCCAGGATGATAAGTTTCCAGAACATGAACAGCTGTAGGATACACCTGTTGTTTGAAAGTAAGTTCCACATAGTCCTGGCTCTGAAAATTAGGTGGTGTCCTCTTGAATGGCAAGGAAGCACTAGGACACTGATCCCACCATGTTCCATAAGTTCGAAACACAGCTGTCTGAGTAAAGTCACCAGAACTTGGGAAAACATTTGGTACACCTGCCAGATTCCACATGGTATAGGACATACTATTCTCACTTCCATAATGGGAACTGAAATCTACTACTTCTTTAGCATACTGAACCACCTCTGCATTGAGAGGGGATGTCCGGCTGTTTGATTCTATGGTTCTATGGCTGTTCATCATCTCTCCTCTTGTAGCTGTCCTGGCTCGACGCCGAAGGCATATATAATAAAACATAGTCAGAACTGTTAACATAGGAAAGACTGGTGACATCTAGATGTGAATTATGAAGCTTCAAAAGGTCAGGTGTCCTCAGTAAGATGCATGAACTCTTTGAAGGATATTCTAAAAAATGAATGGTAAAGTAAAAGTCTAAAAAACGAATGGTGAAGTAAAATAATTTAAATAAGCAGAAAAGCACATGGCTTGGGTAACTAACAGGCTTTTTTCCCAACATAGTATCCCAGAATGAAACACTGAAAAAACAACTTTTAAACTGAAAACATGAATCTTTGGTATTAAGTAATTTAGCTAATCTGTTTCTAAGAATCCTAAATACAGTAAATGTATACAATTTTATGTTATATGGGAAACAAATCTGGTATTTAAGACCACAAAAGATGTATGATCCAAAAAGCTCTATTTTGTATAAAATTATAACCATCAATTAACAAATAGTAAATCCTTGAACTTTTAAAATTAAAATTTAGAATGTATAGGAATCACTAAATATTGCTTTAAATTCAAAAGAATCTTAGATACTGCTGCAATTTCACATTCTAAAAAATGATTCTCTATTGTTAACTATTACTTTCTTTCAAACATGCTAAGTACAGATTTCATAATATGGCAATATAGTTTTCTGGAGTTGACAGTTAATCCAGACCAACTAAATTAACTGCCTTACACATCACAGATCACCAGACAGTGTTTAATTTATAACTCTTAGCATTATTTGTTAGGGCAGTCCATGGCTGGCTGGCATCTGGTCTGCTGCCAGATACTCTTAGAAATCACTCACCCCAGATAGAATGGTCACAGGGTACACAGAGGAAATGGAACAGTTGGCACCTATCCATGTGGCCTGAAATTTGCATGCTGATTTCAGGTACAAATGCTGAAATGTGTCATTTTCTTACCTATAAGACAAGAGTTTCAGAATATATTTTTATTTCCAATTTAAGAGGTCAAATACACACACACACACACACACACACAAGATTATTATAGATAAAAAGCCTTTTATTTGACACAGCATTCAAATTGAACAGGTCACCTTTTTCAGAACCTTGTGGACAATTTTGGATAATACATTTTTAAGTTTACGACAAAATATAATAAAAATATAATAATGAACCCTTCTATATAGAGGGGAGCTCTGGTGGCATAGTGCCTAAGGCATGTGACTGCTAACCAGGTGGCTAGTGGTTCAAACCCACCAGCCACTCCTCAGAAGGGAGGTTGGGCAATCTACTTCTGTAGCGATACTGCCTTGGAAACCCAAGGAGGGGTTGCTATGAGTCGGATCCGACTTGATGGCAATGAGTTTATGAGTTTTTTCTACATAAAGATTATAACCCATAGCTTAAGCATCAAACTATGTAGACATATGTTATTGGCATCAAACAGTTCTGTAAAATTTGAATTAGCCGGCAATCTTTAATAGTCAAGAAGAAATCATGAGAAGAGGCTTGCCTGAGCTCTGCCAGCAGCTGTCATTGTTCCCAGCCAACGCCACTAGTTTATAATACAAGCCTGGCCACTGTTGAATAGGTGATCTCTTGTCTATACAAACAAGAAATCAAACATACTTATTTTTATACTTGGACAGTCTTGAGTTTAACTTCTCAATAAAATAAAGGAAATATATTAACTTGTATTTAACAGAGTAATATGAAAGCCTTCCAAAACTTTAGAATTAAGATTGTAAAGCATTACTTGCATTAAATGTCTTTCCCACTCAAAAATCTCCAGTCGTTTTCTGTAACCTACAAGATATAATCTAAATTCCTTAGATTGACATTTCAAGGCTCTGCTCAAAACTGGATCCTTCACTTCTTGTCTAACAGTTAACCCAGTCAAGTTCTAATCATCCTTCATATTTTACTTTAAGTCTTATTTCCTCTATAACTCCTTTTACAACTACCTTATTCCACATTGGCACACTTTTTCTGACTAATAAGTCTTATTCTCTGGTACCTACTGGCACTGCATTTGTATCAGATATATGCCCTAGCTCCATAAGAATCTAGATGATGAGTGAGTTTCTTAAAGGAGGGAATCTAGGCAAGCATATTTATTTTTCAAAGTATGAAGTATATCCAAAACCAAACTAAACTCACTGCCATAAAGTCAAATCCAACTCATAGCGACCCCTCCTTAGGTTTCCAAGGTATATCTCTACGCGAGTAGATTGCCCAATCTTCCTTCTGAGGAGTGGCTGGTGGGTCTGAACCACCAGACTTCTGGTTAGCAGTCAAAATGCCTTATGCACTACGCCACCTGAGCTCCCACAAAGTATACAGTAGGCATTAAATGTTTGGTAATGTGCTAGAATGGAGATAAGCAACCAAAACCATTATGAAAGTCTAGAAACATTTAAAATTACGTAACATCCCTCTACCTCTCAAACCCAAACAAATTCAAATACAATGAGATGCTTAATAAAATATAACAAGTGGAATAGCAAACAAAGAGCTGAGCTTGAAACACATGAGGAAAATCCACAGCTATGAGAAATAAAGAGGAAAGTCAGACAAAGCCTAACATGACTCACGGGACCAATTATGGGTCTTAATGATTAGGAGGGGACTTTCTACCACCCAAGCAGAGATTATTTCAAGCCACAGGTCACGTTTAGAAGGACCTTCACAAAGCTAAGACTTGGGAAACTATCCACAAAACCAGGACTATGAAAACTCAGCTCAGTGCCCAGGAGGCATTATATGAACTGAAACAATGGGGGAAAAGTCACTAGACGGAAATTAGAACCCTCTACTATCATGTGTGGGAGCTCTGGTAGCGTAGTGGCCAAGACACTTGACTGCTAACCAGAAGGCTGGCGGTTCAAACCCACCAGCCACTCCTCGGAAGGAAGATGGGGCAATCTACTTCCGTAGTGATACTGCCTCGGAAACCCAAGGAGGGGTCGCTATGAGTCAGGTCTGACTCAACGGCATATAACAACAACAACAACAACTATCATGTGTAAGGAGCTCTGGTGGTACAGTGGTTAAGGCATTTGGCTGCTAACCAAAAGGTTAGTGGTTTGAACCCACCAGCCACCCTGTGGAAGATAAGGCAGTCTACTTCTGTAAAGATTTACAACCTGAGAAACCCAACAGGGGTCACTATGAGTTGGAATCAACTCCATGGCAGTGAGTTTGGTTTGGTTAGTATCACGCATAAGGAACTCTGGTGGTGTGTGGTTAAGGCATTTGGCTGCTAACTAAAAGGCTGGTGGTTCAAACCTACCAGCTGCTCCACGGAAGACAGATGAGGCAGTATGCTTCCATAAAGATTTACAACCTTGTCCTTCCCACTCAACCCACTGGGGGTCACTATGAGTGGGAATCCACTTGATGGCAGTGAGTTTGGTTTGGTTCAGCATCATGTATACAATATAGATGTAAATTCACATTTCCTTCACATTTAGAATCACTTTTCCCACTACCAGCAATCCAAAAAAATGTATAGTTTTAAGTAGTCCCAAACCAGTCAAGTAGGGACAATTGTGGAACCTCTTTGCAGGGATGCTGCCATAGACTAAGCCTTCATGGAAGATGCCATCACAGTGAAAAAAAAAAAAAAAAAAATCAGACCACAAGAGAAAATGAATCATGCTGAGGGAGAGACAGTAAAGTCACCAAATGGAGGAATCTGTACCCCAAGAACAAGAAATAACAGAACAATATGAACAAAATATTTTCTAGAGAAGGGTATCAAAGCAATTATTAAAGTAAATGAGGTCTTTCTGCCGTGGTGATATATCATGAATCAATGAAGCAGATTCACCTCAGGATATATAACAGCACGTGCTGAAGTACAGGTCATGTTATAAATGTGGGAAAATATAATTATCTGGTTTTATCACTTTTTTATTCAAACATTTCACCTATTGCAAGTATAAATCTGTCAAAAAACATTTTTATGACAACAAAATTTCTAATCCTTATCACCAAAATTTGATATTACACAGCTTCTTCTTTTACAGTATTACATATATTTCAAAATAGGCTTGTGGGTAAATATAGAAGGACCATTTAACAAAAAAGTTACTTCATCCTTTTCTTTCTCAACAGGAAAAGCATTAATGAAATAGTTAAATAGCAAAAATAAAATTTAGCAAATAAGGAACAACTTACAAGTACCCAACTTGATTGACAAATATCTAATTTAATTCCAAATTAATTGATCAGTTAATTTGGAAGACTGGATGCTATATTTCTGGGGATCACAAATGGAAGGTCAGAAAACTGTATGCCAAGATGGATGGTTAAATTTCACTGTATAATCTTTGGCTATCACTTCTCTACCATGTATAAACTGCTTCAACTAAGCTCCTTTCACTTTCTTTATAAAACTGTATTTAACACAAGAGTAAAGCAATTTTATAATGCCAAAGAAACATCTTCAAAATGATACAGCATCTTTCACGTAAGCTTTCACAATCATTTTTGGCAAAAAGAAGATTGAGACAAATTGTGAAAGTCAAATTCTGTTTGATATACCAAGTCATAAGCTTTATAACTAATTCCCATCTAGTTTACACTATTGTGGATTATAAGGTAATATCAAACACATTAAGACTGTCACATGGGCCATATAATTTTTAAGCTGTTTTAAAGTGAAATAAAACTCAACATTGAGGTAATATATTCAAAAAACAAACCCACAGCCATTAAGTCCATTCTGACTCATAGCAACCCTATAGGACAAAGTAGAACTGTCCCGTGGTTGAAAATCCTATGGAAAAAAGCTGCCTCATCTTTCGCCCAAGGTTGAAAATCCTATGGAAAAAGGCTGCCTCATCTTTCGCCCATGGAGCAGCTGGTGGAGTCGAACCACCAATGTTTTAACCACTAAGTGCTTTAACCACTGTGCCACCAAAGCTCCTAATATATATAAAGCATGTTATAAATGATAAAGAAATGTATGTATGTATTATATGTTCACACCACTGTATACAAGGGAAATGCAAAATGAATGGTTCGTATTTTCAAACTATGGATAAGAGTAATTTGGAAAATTAATTTTCTGTGAGATAAAGCTAAAAATGATAAAAAGCAATTTTTGACAGAAGGAAGAGCAGTAGAAGAATAAATATATTGATTCTTTCCCCCACAGTGCTATTAGAAAAATATAGCATAAGCTAAAACCTGTTTCTGAAAATAAATAAGTCATAGTAACAAAAAAGGGAAACGTGCAAACCTATTGTTAATACTCTTCATTGATTCTAAACTCTTTCCCAATCTACTAAGATAACACATGAAAGTGTTTTGGGGGGTGGGGAAGAACATATGGAGAAGAAAGGATAGCTTCCTTTACTTTTCCCTGGGAAATGAAGCTGAAAAGGAGAGTAGTACTATTGTCTCAGGGCTCATGTGGGCAGCAACAACCAATGCAGAAGTCCAAATTGTCCATGTATGTACTGTCTGGACTTTTGCCAAAGCATGGAGGCAATTTGTGGTAACGAATGAATATCCCAATGGGCAATGAATGAAATGTAAAAGATACAATAAGTCAACTTTATGAGGAGAATGGGAATCAAGGACAAAATGACTGTTGTCCCCCCTGACTCAAATAAGTACTAGCCTAAAACATCAAATTTGTCCAAAAGGATAATTATAAAATAAACCTTTCATCAGGCACTTTCCCTTCTAGTTCATTCAAAAAGCTACTTTAATTTTAAAGTCTCTCACAATATGCTTTTAAAAAACACATTATTTTCCACCTCAAGTCAAAATTAGAAATAGGGAGATCTTTATTTTATTAGTTGATTAGCCCAATCACTAATCAACAACGATTATGAGGTGAGAAAGTCTCCACAACATCCTGAACTCTTATGCTAGCATAATCAAGGAATACAAAACAACAGCCCTTTTAATTTGTATCATGAGACTTTTATACTCCTTGGGAA